TGACTGATGATATGAATTTATTGAAATCTCCAATAAGTAAGAGTAATAAGTAAGAGCTATAAAGACACAAAAATAACATACATTTAGGCTCCATCCGTAATAGAATCACTTTAGCATACTACCAAAAGTGAACTGCAAACAGACAGCAAAGTTACAAAACAGCATACAAACGAATTAGGACACAACCTACATGTTTATATTATAGTTAATACCAACATTGTGCCTCTTCGGGGGGTGCTAAACTTAAACATAAACTTTATCCTTTACTTTCTCCGTGTTTATATGTAGATTAATCTCCGCTCCTTTTCTCCGTCACGTTGTTTCTATAGCAACAACAACTTCCTGTCAACAGTGTAAACTCGCCTTCAAAATAAAAGTTTACTTTCTCCGTCTTTATATGTAGATTCATCTCCGCTCCTTTTCTCCGTCACGTTGTTTCCATAGCAACAACAACTTCCTGTCAACAGTGTAAACTCGCCTTAAAAAATAAAAGCATCTAAATAACACAGGAAGTTAACCTAAATTACATTTCAGACATATTTACAACTGCAACGAAAGTAACAAAAACAACGTAATATCCTTTTCAGTTTCAGAGAACACAAATTGGGTTATTTACAATCGTTATGTAACTCTTGTATTGCACTAGGTAACGGCAACAATAGGTTGTAGCATTCAAACCTGCTCATGGACTTGCAGTGGTCCTCGCTTTTTTTATGTCTCTCCGAGTTACGCAGGTGCTTCCAGTCTACATATCCATCCCTCGTAAATGCACCTTCAGCTCCTGGGCTGGGGAAATGTCTGCACATTTTACAGAAAAGCTTCCCTGCAGGCAGCTCTCTGCCTCTCTCACGTTACTATGGCGCGCGCCGGAACCAACAACCAGTTTTTACCGTAAAGGAGTTCGGATCAGAGGATAAAACACATACACTAACATTAATTCAACTCGATATTTGTTCACTTGAATTTCACTTTGAATGCTTGGATATTCTCAATGGGTGAATACATTTTTTTATAATAATAATAATACAAAAATAAAACAATTGGCCCACCCTTGCCCTATGGTGGCTACGCCACTGCCCAGAACACTTAGCCCTCCTCATCTCTCTCTGCTTCCTTACCCTGATTATATTTTTCTTTCTTTGCCTGTCAAGATTTTATTAATACGTTTGTGTTCCCTCTTTTTACCACCAGGCACATGCGTGAGATTCAGGCCTTACACTCCCGCCAGAAGGAGGAGATAGACAGTCTCTTTATAAAGCTGGGAAAGGTATCTCTCCTTGTTTCATCAGTGCAGACACTATGAACAGCATCAAATACAGTACATATCTCTCAACCATTCTTCCTTTGGTTTTGATGCAGGTTCCTCCAGCTGCAGTGCTCCCACCAATTATAGGCTTGACTGGAAGGAGAAGACGACCTACGAAGAGCAAATCCTCCAAATCGTCCAGAACCAGCTCCACGCACAGCAGCAAGAGTCCGTTACAACCAGGTACGCTCTTCTGTCAGAAGCAACACCATTTCTTTCTCTCTTCTAGTGGTAGCCTTGTAGCAGTTGGTTCAAAATGTTTCCAGGATTTCAGATATTCTCGCCGTTACCCCATCATTAAAACATAGCTGCCAGCATCGCTATAGGTCTTTTTGAATCTAATTTAACAATTGAGAGCAACACAAGTGAATCCTCACTTAAACTTGAACAAATTGCAATGATGAACATGGCTTGATACCATTAGAGGAAAGTGAGAAAATGTGTCCTTTGTATCATTTGGTTGAAATGACCAGGCTACAATGTTCACTTAATCTTAAATTGTAAACTTCTTCCAGAATAGATAATAAGGTTCACCCTAACTTTACACTGTTTCTTGTGTTTATGCATGCATGTGCACATACGTGTGTGTGTGTTGCTGGTTACACGTGCATGTGTGGGTGTTTGTTGGTGCAGGCTCAGAGCTTCAACATTTCTGACTGCTTTCCCTGTCTGTCTCTCTCTGTGTGTGGTCGTGTGTGTGTGGGGGGGTTGTCTCTGGAAATGTCTGTGGTGACGGGTGTCTTATCTGTGTGTTGTATTTTTGTGTGTGTGTGTGTCTGCGGTGCGTCCTTCCTGCCCTGTCCTCTCCTGCCTGTGCCTTGTGGTGTCTCCAGGCAGCACTTTATCGGCCCAGAGCGCCCCCACCCTGCCCCCCGGCCCGCTGGCTCTGTTAGCCCCAGGAGGACTTGCCGAATCGAGCAGCAGTACTCTGCTCCAGCCTCTCAAACCCTCTCCCTCCAGCAACAACGTGTGCTCGGCCTGCACCAGCGACACGGCGCTCTCTGTGCCCAGCCTGTGTGCTCCCACCCCAGGTAGGCCATTGTTGATCCCTGTAGGCCTCATCAGCTTCCCCACAACATGATATTTACACACTGATGCATGCACTTGGTTTGCCTTCACACTTCTGCACTTCAACAATACACTTCTCACACTGTTTCTATCTTTCTATAGCTGTTTCTAAAATTGGCTAATGGACTGTGACCTTTGTACTCCTTCACCTGTTTCTCTCTCCTTCCCTCTCATCCATACCTTTTCTGTCCTCCTTTTTTCCACTCTGTTTCTTTTTATCTGTTTTTCTTTGTTGCTTTCCTCTCCTCTCAATATCTCATCTTCACCTCTCCTTTTCTTCACCTCTTCTCTCCTCCTCTTCCTCCCGTCCTCCCTCTCTTCAGGCTGTGTAAAGTTCAGCTGGGGTTCGGAGCGTTTGGCCTTCAAGCCTGGCGGCAGGAGGACGCGCTTTCTGAGTACGCCCTGCTTGGCTCTTTGTGTGTAACGCTTTATTTCTTTGCTCTTCTCTTTTGACCCGTCGTCCCTACTTACTTTTGATCTTACTTTTGTACTCCTGTATCTGTCAAGTCACGGTCATCCTGTCTTCCCTTGGGTTTCCTTCTTTGATGGAGGAAGACCTTTTGCTACTGATATCATTAGTGTCAAAAAAAGTTAGCTTTTAGGCATTAATAGAAAACCATCTCACCCTGGGCTTGCAGACTTTTACTATCTTAAATCAACACTTTTAAACTACGTGTGCTGCCCTATGCAGGTACAATTAGCAGTCAGATGCTTTTTTACATTTATTCCTATCTTCCTTACAAAAATCCTTATTGTTCATGTTGGAAAATTAGTGAAAATCTCAGGATAAAAGCTTACTTAATAAAAACACAGAAAGTTAGCCCAATGTCAAAAATGTTCACATCCTAGAGCTTCCCATCGTCATCTTAACTAACGTTTTAGTCTTCTTTCCACTCCCTCTATCCCTCTCAGTATTCTCTCCCTTTCTTTCCTTCCTCCATGACAAATAACTAATCTCTTAACTTCACATATAATTCCAATCTTGTGCACTTTAGGCTGCGGGTGTTATCTTCAGGCAGGGTGGAGCATGCCAGGCTGATCACCAAACAGAAATTGTGATTTGTAATGCCATGGAGCATTGTGAAATCCTTCAGATTTCCATCCTGATTGACTTGTTGACAGCCAAGAGCAGCAAGTGCAGTTTATACTACCAGCCCTGGAATTCTAAGGGTTGCAGACGCTCTTTTATCAATCATCAGAAATACAAAACAAAATCATAACCAGAAATCATTGCATGAACATTAATAAGCTCCCTGGGAAAGCATCGGCTACACATTGATTGTGAAAGTAGCTTCATTGATAACTAGCCCTTTTGGCAGTTAGCAATGTGTGATAGTCTTGTTTGTCTGTCAGTCTGGATTTCTAATGCTGGGTGCTTCCATTTCTAAACTCTTGTCTCTGTAAAACAAGCACACTAACAGGGAAAGACCAGTTGACTCCTGATGACTTGAGATTTTCTGCTGTACAGTTTGGTTCTTTATGAATAGATTATTAGTTTGAACTTGATTTATTGCAATGACCCGTTGAAGCACAGCTCTGTTCATATACTGTGCAACGGTCTGCATTTATTTAGATATTTTCCTGATTCAGATGTTTATTTGTTTTCTAAATTGATATTGTTACTTAAATGTGTTGTGCTTTATGAAGAGATGTTTATGAATGCTTCTGAACCCTCTGCAGCTCCACCCTTTCTCACTCCTTTCCCTCACTCCCTTTCCTTCCCCGTCTCTCCCTCACCTGTCCCCCAGTCACTGCACAGACAGGAGGGGAGAGAGACGGAGCTGGGTCTTAAAGATCATCACTTGTACTTTTTCATAAACAGGTCGAATTGGAAATTAATGTATTCATCTTTAAAACAGAACTCAATGGCCATTTTGTTTGGTTCTGACTTAATGAGAGATCTGTGCAGCGATTCAGAGCTCAGGGAACAGCGTACTTACATATTTAATTTGGACCCAGTTCTTGTAAGGGCCTGCGAGCTGTAGAGAGGTCTCAGAATCAGAGCCAGGGGTTGGTTACCCAAAGCGTCTTCAGGCCACAGTACACCGGCAGCACTTTATCAACACTGTTTGGTACGCCTGTCTGTTTCTCCCAACTGGATGAATGCCGACCACCATCTACTGTATAGGAAGTCATACCACCCCAATTCAAAACATTCAAACTGTCCTCTTTAGGAAGTGGCCAAGGTCTTAGTTTGGTTTACTGATAAATATAATAAACCAGATTGATCTATTCAGTATTTATATGTAAGTGTGCTTATATGTGTCTGCATTTGCCTAAATATCTTGGTCTTGTCTATGGAAGAACATCTTTAGATGAGTATAAAAAGGGCAACCTGTGGTCAGTATCACCAGTATCACACTTTCCATTTATACATTTAAAAACTGCACTTTGCTTTACAGAGCACTGTGTGACAAGGCACTGATGTCTGTGTGAAGATGTTACTGGGCAACTCAACCCCGAGGTTTTGTTTATCGACTGCTTCAAGTTCAAATATTCATCCTGAGATGCATTGTGTGTGGATGTCGGGTGTTGTGGGTTTAATTCTGACTCTCTCCAAACCCTCCAATCGTTGTCTTCCGGCTGCACAGGGAAGATGGTGAAAAAAGTGTGCCCCTGCAACCAGCTCTGTAGTAATTATCTCTCTTTTTGGTCTTCCCTCCCTCCATCAATCCCCCTTTCCATTCCTCTCCTGCGCGTCCTCCTCTAATGCCCTTTAGATTTCAACTTTGACCCTCTGCTGGATTTGAGATCAATGTGATTCAGTTATGTCAGCTACTGTGTTTTCTATGTAGACATTTGATATATCGAATGATCACAGTTTCACACCCAGTTTGAGGACTGAAATAACTGAATCCAGCAGCCATCACAAATTCAAAGCAAACAGTGCATGCACCTGCAAGCTATTACACACACACACACACACACACACACACACACACACACACACACACACACACACACACACACACACACACACACACACACACACACACTGCTGTTTGCCCCTCTGCCCCCTCCCTATCCTCTCCTCCCTCGTCATGGCTTGTTGTCTTGACTACATTGCCCAGAATTCCATGCTGCTGCAGTCAGTCATGACTCAGCGTCTCCCCATTCTTATTTTCCTCCATTTTATTCAGCATGACATGCCGGTTTCTGTCAGAACAGCTGTATGATTATGTTTTACCGGCTGATGCCTGCATATTCTGTTTTTATCAGTTGACTTTATCTTTAGTCTCGTTTGAAGCGATAGTAGAGGAAGGAGGATAGAGAAATATAAAAACCTATTGAATGATTAGGCAGTATTCACGGTAGTAAAATAACCGGGGGGATATCTATTAATCATAAAGATACACATGCAGAGTGTAGTAATATTTCATAATTGTCCTCCTCCGACCTCTCAGCAGAGACTGATTTTGTTTCCTCTTGGGTTAGTAGAGAGACACTAACGTGAAGCACCTGCTTTAATTTGAGTACTGTTATCTTATAATAGATAATGGTAACTTAAACAGAGGCAACATGCTCAGCAGCACTGACCTGCAGTCAGCCTGGTGTGTGTGCTTTCTCTGCAGTTCATTTGCTGTAATGTGTTTGAGGCTCTGGGTTGGCAAAAAGCAAACTAGTAGCAGCTGTCACAGAGCTTGAGTGCCATCTTGTGGTTAAACATAAGAGCATGTTGTGTGTGAAGGCTGCAGGGAGTTTATCACAGGCGGGCCAGTGTATCATAGAGTAGTAACACTGCAATATTTAAATGGTTATATTCTGAAACAGGTTGAGTTTTGTCACATTAGTTGATAAAATGATCTGTTTTAAATGTTGCTCTTCTAGTGACATAGTGTTTCTCATGTTCCTGTCTGTCATCATTATTTACATCATTACAATTAAATAATATAATTCCATGACCACATGCTGACCTGCCCTAAACAAGTTGTCCCTGCCAGCCTCCTCCACCATGTAACAGTCAAGACAGAAAGTGCATAGTCATAATTAAGATAACATCAACTATCATGTTTTAGTTTGAACATATCTCTCATGCTTTGCTCTCCTCTCTCGCTCTCCCCCCACAGGGACTAACAGCACCAACGCAGTGAGTGGGTCAGGGGGTCTGTGTCAGAGCCAGGGGGGCTCTCAGTCCCTGCCCCCCAGCATGTCTGCCCCCCACCAGAGGAAAGGAACCTTCACCGATGACCTCCATAAACTGGTGGACAACTGGGCCCGAGACGCCATGAACCTCTCACAGGTTGTTCTATGATTCCTCTCACTGTAGCAGAAGGTGTTATAATAATGACTCCCCACTTCCTGTGTTTAGCGTTCCAGACAAAACATGTGATGATTTATATTGATCCTTGAGGTTTAGAAAATCACTTTTTTTGTGAGTTAAAGGTAGGGTATGTAAGTTTGTGGAAACGGCTCGGATACATTTTTTGTTATATTCCATTGAATTCTCTTAACATCCCGATACCAACCTGCCTGTCAGCCTTCCATCTGTGCACAAACTTATCTCGTGCCCTCATTGGTCATGTGCGCGTTCGTGTGTGTTGGAGGAGGGGCTCTGTAAGGAAGTGGCAGATTTTCTCCAGTCGTGTATTTTCAAATTCTAGCGATCTCGAGCCGGTTTCTCAAACTTACCTACCCCACCTTTAACTAAATATTCAACTTTTTCAGGGGAAGAGGAGTGCCAAACAGCTGCCGCAGGCCCCAGCACAGGGACACAGCTACGAGGTGAGTTTACAAATACATGTGATCATCATGGCCTGTCAGGGGCCTCACCTTCATCTCTTCACATTAAGTGCACATGGCGCAGCTGACTATACATTCCAGCTTCATTATATGCATAGATAACTTACAAACCATCCAGGGCATCTATTCTGTAACACGTTTATCTTTTCGTTTGGGCTCATTTGATTAAAGATAACTGATGCTCATAACTGGATTCCAACACATGGACTGTGGAAAGGATTGTATTATACAAAATATTGAATCCGCAAAACCAGCTAATATGCAATGAATCTAGGACTTTTGGGCCCCCAAAAAACAATGTTCACCTAAGATGCCTGTTTTCAAAATTGACGTTACAAAAAAATAAATCTTCATTTTGCCCTAACCTAACCCAGTCTAAAAATGACTCCTTCAGTTTAAGGAACAAACAGCTGTCCAAATCACAAATTAGAGATTGAAAGTCATAAAAAGCTATACANAAAAAAGTCAGGATAACGGGTTAGTATCTCGTGCGCACGAGATACTAACCCCTCCTTGGCGCACCGGTAACTTTCTCCCCAAAAAAAAGTCAGGATAACGGGTTAGTATCTCGTGCGCACGAGATACTAACCCGTTATCCTGACTTTTTTTTTTCTCTCTCTGTTTTTTTTTTTTTTTTTCATGTCCCTTTAGGGGCTCCGTAGGTCTCTGACCATTATTCGGATTGAAATGCTACAACGATGCTTGGCAATGGGCATTATTATATATTATTATTATAGGCCAGGCCTACTTTAAAGTCATTTTTCCCCCTGGAAAAAGCTGGCCCACCCTATTTTATACAAGCACGCCCTAAAGTACATTTCTGCCTACGCTATTGGTGTGGAGAGGTGAGAAAATGACCCAGATACTTTTCTCAAAGTACCATCAATGTCACACTGTGACACACATTTCAAGTACAAATCCTGGAATTCATCAAGTGTGTTAAGCGTATACAAGTTTACAACACATATAGAAATCATTAAGTAACTAAAAATACATAATTTATGTTGAGGTTTGACAAATCACGTATGTATATACATAACAAAACGGCACGCACGTCAGCACGCACGTCAGCACTTAACAAGTGTTTAGTTATTTACACGGTTTGAATTACTTTTTAAAAGTGACTTTGGAGTCTGTCATATGAATGTAAACAAATGAATTGCTTCATGACTGTTCATGAAAAATATGAGCAAAGATAATGTATTTACCAGCTGAAAGTATCCAACACTCAGTGCCTTTTCTTTTTTCTTCTGAATTCTGTAACACATGTCAATTAAAGTCAGCCCCAGGAAAATGTCACAACTGCTAGCATTTTGAGGAATATGTCAATACTGTGCAGTACACTTACCCATTTCTGAGTTTCCCTACAAAAATAGACGTACAAATGTATCAAACTACACTTAGATAGATGGGTTCTTTCTTTTTTACAAAACTGTACTATTATTGTGCACATTGTTTTGCAAGGAAAATGTATCACTTACCACTTTCTTCTTCCCCGTGTGTAGATTTGATCGATTTCTTCATGTCTGCTGCCCTAACTTAGTCAGGTGTGGCAACTGTGAATGAAAAAATAATAATATATGTAACAATGTAAATAATGAATGTTTGTTTTATTAAATCCTGTTAAACTGGGACTACAGCCATAGTTTTGTCATTTTATTTTATTTTGAAAAGCCGGAGCCGGAAGCTAGTGTTGCGCTGAATGTGGTGCATTTTGGGAATCCGTCAGTGTTAGAGGATTCTTAGCTTTGGGTGAGTTGTTGTTCTGTTCACTGAGTTGTAAATATAATAATAATTGTGATCTACATGTACTATTCTGTGTATAATCTATCTGCATTTATTGGTTATATTTTATGTTTAGCTAAATGTCTTTAGATTCCGTAGTGTATCACTTTTTAAAAATAATTGTACATAAACTGAGAGTGAGCCGTTTTCCAGCTAACTAGTTAGCCGCTAACGTCGTGGAGTGCATGTGGCATTTACGTCATTGATGTGAAACTTTACTTTGTAGAGCAACATCTCACTGTACTGTGGCTAAACTGGATCTGTGTGTCTATTCCATGGTTTCAGGTATGTTTATTTTTGAGCTGTTAAATGTTTTTATTGAATACTGTTCATCTAAGTAATTTGATTAATCTTTATTGTCACAATTACAAACTAAATTGTTTTATGTTTGTAATAAATGTTATTGGGTTTCTTTCTGTTTGTATTTAGAATCCTTTTTCTCTAAACAAATGATACCACTATACGATCACTGTAAGAGTGTTAGAGGATTCTTAGCTTTGGAACAACATCTCACTGTACTGTGGCTAAACTGTGGATCTGTGTGTCTATTCCATGGTTTGCAGAATAAAAGCTGATTGATATCTCAAACTGACTCCGGTGAAGTACAAGAAAGCAACAGCAAAGCAGGACCCAAGTGTCACATAAGCTTAGCTAACAGACTTATTTCTACCACTCATGGACCAAACCCACCTTTTCTTTTGAAAAACTGGGTGACATACTGTCGTCCTTTAGTCCCTCTCTCTTGTCTTTCTCTCCTTTATTTTATTTCTTGAAAGCCTGACTTTGTTAGTCGTTGAGACATCGTACACACGTAAGTACTAGCATCCCTCCTCACACGCTCTCACTAGTCTCTCAGCTAGAAAGGGCCGGTGCTGCACAGCGTTTGGAGGCAGGACCAAACCATTACATGTAAATAGAGGGGGGTGTTCGATGCTTTGGATAATTAACTATTGGAAGAAAATAAGTTAAATGAATCATAAGTTTAGTGAGTACATCATCAATATAACGTTATATTAATGTTAATTATTGATGATTGATGAAATGTTACTTGAACATTTTTTTTTAATGTTCTAACATTTTTTGGGGCCCGTCAGTCACGGGCCCTTAGAATCATCCTAACTTTTCACCCCCTTACGGCGCCCCTGGGGGACCCTGACCAAGCGTCGCTCCTGGACGTTTATGGAGTGATAGTGTGCAGTGCATGACATTAAGGATTTTGGGAGATGGGCCATCTAAGCTAATTTACAGATGGCCCTTAGCCCAATAGAGATTGCCCTGAAAAATGCGCGCGGACGAAATGGCACGAAGGGTTTGGGGGGCCTCCCCCTAGAACATTTAGATTTTTCCAGGTCTTACTGTAGATGCTGTCTGGTGCATTCTCTAGACTGAATTATAAGATGAACCACCACAATATTATATTGTAACATTTCAATTTTATTCTTCATTTCACTTGTTTGTTTGCTCTTGTTTGCTCGCATGCATGCCCTGCATAGCTATAAGAAATACTTAAGTTGTTGGTCAAGACACTTTCCATCTGATGAAGGCAAATGCCTTCCCAGATGTAAAAAAGTAGAAAACATTACATTCAGTTATAACTGCCAAAACAAACATTATTTACACTATTATGGCTCCTGTTAAAAATGTTTGTAATGTTATCTACTGTAAGTTGGTCGAATGAATGCTTCCTCATCCAGAAGCTGACCGAGCAGACCCGAGCAGCAGTCGAGAGGAGCCGATCCGCGAAGCACACAACATGTTGACGTCGGAGTTCCCGTTAGCCGGCAAATCTAAACCTCTTCGGTCAAAATAATGTCCCTTTAGCGCAATACCGCTTCAGTTGCGCCACTTATGTGACAGACAAGAAGAGTATGTGACAGACAATAATAGTCAATTATAATGTCTAACACGTAATGTGGAGAAAGAGATGTCCTGTCTGGGTTGATTGTGAGTTGATCTGTTGGTAATGCCTCGGGGTTCGGGTGGGCATGTAAACAAATGCATAATGCTGCGCTATACTTTGTGTCCTCACCCAGTTGCATAGCGGCACTTATTGTTTAGGTGTCTTTTAATAAGCAGGTATTCATATCATTAGCTAGAACTAGCTGGATCTGATCGATATGGACATAGACGCGAGTGAAGTCTAATCTGGCGGGAGAGAGAGATCAGCTGGTGCTGACGAGTCGACACGCAGCTCTGCATGATCACATGCAGCGGTGAGCGGACAAAACACACACTTCAGGTTAGAATATCACTCGTAGCTATTTTAATTACCTCTCAAACTACCTAAACTAGTTATAGNTACGTGTGATATTCTAACNTCTTTTTCTAGCTTCTTCCTCTTTTCTTGAGAAGGGATGTTAAGCACTTCCCAGAACCAGTAGCGTAAGCAGAAATGTACTTTAGGGCGGGCTTGTATATTATACAAGCCCGCCCTAAAGTACATTTCTGCTTACGCTACTGGTTCTGGGAAGTGCTTAACATCCCTTCTCAAGAAAAGAGGAAGAAGCTAGAAAAAGAAGTAATGAAGGAAAGTGGTTGGTTAACCTCATGCTCAAAGAGGAAGAGGAGAAAAGAGAAGAATAGCCCACTATTTCTGGGGGCACAGAAATAGAAAAAGGAGAAGAAAGAAGAGAGTAAAATCTAGTTTATAGCAGTTTGACTTAATAAACAAAATGTGAAGGAGAAGTGAAAGATTGATTGAAGTGTTGAGAAGACAACAAGTCTGTAATATCTCTGAGATTCTTTGAAAGAGGGGAGGGGTTACTCACTTTTCTGTGAGGTGGCTGATTTCCAGTTTGAAGTCTTCATCCTCAAATTCGGAGTCGTTGTCGCTGCTGATGTAGGAGTTATTGAAAGAGTTGTTGTTTAAACTGGGCAGTGACGCTTTATGAGTGGAGTCTGGACTCTGAGCCTGCCCAGGGTGACTGGGTCCGTTAGCAGCCGGGGAGGCAGGCGGGGGGGTCGGCCCGGACTCCAGGTTCTGCTCCTGGGCACGACTGACTGAGAACCTACCAACACGGGCCTCTGGGCTGGTGGTGACCTGATATAGAAGAGCGAACATAATATTGGTAGGACAAAGAAAAGGGAAAATATCATTAGTTTATACATGTGGCCAGTGTTGGGGCAAACACGTTACTGTAACCAGATTACATTTGTCTGTGTTACTGTTGATAGCAGCAGTAATCATATTTCAGTTACTAAGCACAAAGTTATCTCATTGCTTTGGATACTTTAACTAAATATCAGGAGACAGAGAAATAAATCAAACGTCCCTTTTCTCTTTCACTACACTCGTGACTTCATGGATGATGAGATGGACCAGTAATGTCAGAGTCTCACAGCAGAGATAAACAGGCGCAGCAAACATCATTGAGGAAAGGCTGCCACCCTCTTTCCCAAACATGTTGAGGAAGATACAGGTAACAGGCGGGCGGCCAGCAGATAGGAGAACCTTTGAAGCTACCTGGACCAGTGTTCTGATGAAACTGAGCTAAGAAAACAGTGCTGATGTTCAAACAGAGATCTGCCTCAGGATTGGCTTAATTAGTAAAGGATTGGTGCTGATCCGGGATAAATGAGGTTCAACTTTATATTGTTATTTCTCATTGGAATTATGGTGCATCTCAGGGGATGTTATAGAGTCCAAAAGTAATGTGACTAGTAGTGTAACTAATTACTATCAGCAGTGACTCATTTACTAAAGTAAGGGATTACTTTTTTTAAAAGCAAGTAGTAATGTGTAATGCATTACTTCTTTAGAGAAACTACCCCAACACTGCATTTAGTAAAGAAACCCTTCGCCTAGTGCATTACACGATCACAAACAGGAAATACCTGGAAGCGTCCGATTGTGGTGGTGGGGCAGGGTGAGGTGAGCGGGGAGGGTTGTTTGGACCCCCCCTGAGAGCGCTGAGGAGGTCCATCAACAACGTCCCCTCCTTTTCCTTTTCTGAGAGGAGTCGAGGAGTTCCTGTGCAGTGTATTCTCCGGGCTGGAGAGACTGGAGGAGGACGAGGAGGAAGAAGACGAGGAGGAGGAGGAGGAGGTGGAGGAAGACTCAGTGCAGGCCGGGCGGTGGACAGGAGACGCTTCAGTGGCCAAGGACACCTGACCAGTGGGAGGAGTGAGGTGACAATGCAACAGAGAAGAAGAACCAGACAGTATGAATCGCCTATCACAGTGCGCTGAGATTTGTTACGAACTGTAAAGTACTTACTCTTCACTGTACCCTGTATGCCTTCACTAACTGTACGGAGGCTCAGTCATTGGTACATGTTCATCTACAAAGCCATGTTGGGTAAACTACCATCTTATATCTGCTCTCTGATCTCACAGAGAGTTGCAAGTAGCTATTGAGATCTCCAGATGTGTTTTTGTTAAATGTGCCAAGTGCTAGGACTGATTTAGGTATGAAAGCTTTTATGTGCGCAGCTCCTCTAGCTTGGAACACTCTGCAAAAAGAACTGAAACTGAGCATCTTGGTTCTCCTGCATCGTTTTGAAGCTCGGCTAGATGCAATGCAATTTGATATTCTTGGTTCCTGTCAGTGTCGATAGGTTTGTAAATTGTATCCCTGTAATTATGTTGTATGACGTCCTTTTTGTCTTCCGTTGTTTTTATGTGTAACCGACTTGCTGCAGGTCTCCCTTGAAAAAGAGATCGTTTGATCTCAATGGGATTTCACCTGGTTAAATAAAGGCTACAATGAATCAGCTGCTAACAGTGGAATAAACAGAGAACTTTAATCAACACATTCAGGCAAAGAAGCATCACAACCTGAAATAAAACGTTTTTAAAAGTCTTTTAACTCATTATGTCCTCCTTTCACAAGCCATAAAAGGAAATGTGTAGGTATTCTTGTAGGATCTGGAGTATGAGGGACATTTTACCTGAAATCTTCCCAGTTTAATTCCACCTGAATGACCAGAGGTGGACTCAGCTTCATCCAGAGAGAAAGGAACTGTGAGACAGATGTTACAGAAATTAGACACCAAGATAAAAAATAACACCAAGATAAAATAACAGATGTATTCATTTACATACTTGGTTGTCCCGCTGAATGCGTGCCACTGTGAGAGGCCTTGAGTGAGCAAAGAGGGAGAAGAAGGAAGTGGGTTAAAAGGAGTATGAGTTAGCAGATTAACATCCAATTGTGTGTGTTTGTTGTTTACCTGTGTGTGTGTCTCTGGGCTGAGCGCTCTCCTCAACTGAGCATCAAGGTCCTCCAGAGGCTGCTGGGACTGGAAACGAGACAGATTCACATTTAAACCCACCAGAAAATAATAAGATAACACACACAGGATTAGCCACTGAAGTTGATTAGCAATACAAGCACAGATCAGCGTAAAGCACACAAGTATGGCTACTAGGGCTCGACTGTAAACACTTTTTATATATTTGACTGCATTTCAGAAGATTTAAGTGTGTATATTTTTGAAGTCGGGTACTGTGAAAGGCATTATCCCTCTAAGTTTCAGGAGCCCCCTCTCCTGAGCTAACACACACAATCCCAGGTAAGGTGATGTGGAAGGCAAATCCCTTGAGCTCAACAGCAGCGGGATTATGTTGATCAAACAGGACAAGTCTCGGCTATGAGACTTACATAAAGGACGAGGAGTGAAAGATGGTAACTTGACTTCAATGTTTTCCATCTAAGAAACACAAGTCTCACTATCAAGTGGTCACATGGTGTGGCTATCTTTAGACACCAGCATGCACAGAGGCAGAGGCAATTAAATGTGCTGGAAACTAAATGCTAAAAATACTTCTCTGATTGGAGGTACTTCTCTGAGTTTCCATGTCTCTCATCCTTTTTTTATTGGACTGCTGCTCTCTGAATGTAATCCTTTTATAATTGAAAGTAAAGTGCTAGTTTCTAGTTAAATGTCTGTATTTGATTTAATATGTCATTATTTCTTAGGTATATTTCAGGGTTAGGCGGGTGCTGTTAAATGTTCAGTGAGCATTGGAATTAAAAGTGTTTTTTCCCAGCAGAAGCATTAATCACACACAACAGATGCATGGATATGCCATCATAGGCATTACAGGCTCCGGTTACACACAGTGTTGCATTGCATGGGAAATAGAACTCTTAAAAGGATAAAAAAAAACACCTGTGTTAGACAAGGTCCAGGGAATGATGGCAGGAGTTCTGAAGGAGGAGAACTGGCCTGATCCCAGAGAAATAGAGGCCATGAAAAGACAGAGAGGGAGAAACGAGAGGGAAAATATTTGTAGAGGAGGTTATAAGAACAGCGTTTGTTGTACAGAAAGTGAAAATAAATGTTCATGCAAGGAAAGTGAGTAGAAAAATCTCGGAAAAACCGTTACATATAAAGATTAAATGATGTGACTTCTTCAATTTGAAAAGTGTATTACTGTAAAACTATGCAACAGTAGCTGTCTACAGGATTAAATAATGGATACAATTTCCAATAGGTATATTGACATAAGTAGTATTGCCATCTACAGTTAAGCTGGATCACTCACCGATGTCCTGGATAAAGGAGCTTTGGATGGAGTGGTCTGGCCAAAGGATGAAGCAGGGACGATTGTAGAAACTGAAATCATAAAATCAGTGAGCAGCAAATTTATATCACAGTTTCCCCTACAGTATATCATTTACACAAACACAAACACATTCCTCTACATACCGATGGGAGCAGGGGTGGAGATGGGTGTTCCTGGTCTCTGGGCGGGGGCAGGGGAGCCCAGCGGCAGGGAGCAGGGGGGCTGAGGAGGGTTGGCCTGCTGGCTGGACACAGGTGAGGTGACAGATGTGCTGGAGGTAGGGCAGGGGCCCATTGGGGACGAGGTACCTGCTGCGTGGGCTCCAGACGCAGGGTCAGCAGCTGAGAGGTCTCCCCCGGTGGCTGACCCCCCTCCACCCATGTCCATGAAGAGAGAGCGCAGCTTCATCTCCAGAGCCTGGATGTCGTCCGGCTTACCCTGGGACTCATTGAACGCCTCACACCTGAGAGAGATAGCAATGAGTGATCTGCAATGATGCTCAATAAATGACCTAAAGCCCATGAAACTGGCTTTATAGTGACGAGTGCATGAACATTTCACTTTTTCCCAGGAGACAACACAATCACAACTAAAGCTGTTCGATGTTTGGCAGAAGAAAAAAAAAAACAACACACAAAATGCATGGTGTACAACTTTAAAAGTTAGGACTTAAATCCGAAACGGTCTGATCAGAGAATAACAAGAGGACAATTAAACTGAGCAAGCTATCCGTGCTTACTTTTGGTACGTGAACACTAAGGTCAGGGAGTAGATATTCTCACCTTGCATCACATTCCCCACTGTGTGTGTGCGTCTGCCCAGGAAGCGCTGCCGTCTGCGGCTGGGAGTGGACCAAGGTCGGTTGGACTGAAGGAACATTGGTGGTCACTGGCTGGAGCCCCACAACGGAGGAGGAAGAGGAGGGAGGGGTGGTGGTGTGGAAGGAGGTGGGGGGAGTGAGCTGTGGACCTGGGATGGCGGTGGTGAGGATGACGGAGGAGGAGAGGGCAACAGTAGAGGAGGAGGGGGGAGACACTGACGGATGTTCTGAGGAGACTTCACTAGCTAGAAGAGTGGAGGAAGGAGGCGAGGATACAGGAGTCTGGGCGGGAGGAGGGGAGGTGAGCAATGGTGGGGGGAGGCCGGAGATGCTGGCAGGTGGTAAAGGGGAGGGGGCTGATGTAGCAATGACAGGATGAGACTGAGGCTGGGGGAAAGCCTGCGGCTGAATCTGTGCTTGAACCTGGGACTGGGACAAAGGCTGGGACTGAAGGGTGGACTGACTCACCCCAGTGGGAGGAGAGGGGGAGGAGCAAGGATGGCTGAGAGGGGCACTGAGCATAGAGGAGGGGGTGGAGGAGGAGGAAGGAGGAGAAAGTGAGGGCTCCAACACCTGCTCCTGTGGCGGGTTGAAACTAGAAGGGAGGAGAGCAGCAGTAGGATCCACAGTGGGAGGGACTGAGCTGGCCTGTGGGGGGGCAGTAGCTGCTTCAGGCTGCAGAGGGGGGTGGGTGGAGTGGATGGAGGCAGGGGCGGTGCTGGGTCCGGGGTCAAACTGATCGCGGTTCTGTCTGAGCTCAGAGAAGGCCTGCTGTAAGCTGATGGCTCCAGCTGACTGGGACAAGCTCACACCAGTGGCGGGGGTCTGGGCTGGAGCTGCAGCTGGAGGAACTGCAGACAGAGAAACTATGGTTTAATCCCCAATGGCCGTCTGGTTCACTGTACAATCTTTGGGCAGTAAGGCAGTACGTTTATTTATAAAGCACATTTCATACACAGAGGTGACCCAAGGTGATTTACACAAAGATGTTCAAAGAGACACTGAAAACAAAGACAGAGAAAAAAGGGGGAGAGCGTGAGGGGCGACACTACTATTTAAAAATATTTATAGTATTCAGTATAAGTGTAATGTGTCCATAACTTTCTAATTCCTATACTTGACGACTATTTTATAAAAACAATTTCAAGCCGTGATTACATCACAGCTACACATCGGGCCAAAGAAAGCCCCTAAGCTGTTCTTTGGTCACAAGAAACCGGCTCTGTTGTGAGCAGTAACTAAACAATATCTCACTGCTCTATTAAAAGGTCATATTCTATCAAATCAAGCAATTGTCCGTGTGTTTTTGCACTTGGACGGATCATTTGGGCAATTTCTTCTAAAAGCATTACAGCTTTACCTGATGACTGTGGGAACATTTGTTTGTCTTTGCTTCCCTTTTTGGCCACCAGAGTAATAACAGGTTTAAAAGCAAACCTTTTATTCTAAAAGAAAATAAGTTAGCTGCTGACTTTTGAAGGACAGACTCACAAACACAACCCTTACCTATTCCTGCAGGCCGTTGGCGGGCCGGAGAATGGGAAGAGGGGAGTGTTTGTTCCTTCAGCCGGGCCTCAGGTACGGGGCTGACGATGAACCGCCGACCCGCTGAATGGACCACTTGTGCTGTTGCACTGGGAGAGATGTCTGCAGAGAGGAGCATGTCAATACATAACATTGTTATTGTTAATCCCCGAGAGATTCATATGCACGCTGATATTCTACAGCAGAGTTCATCAAGCCAAGGAAGCTTTGTGGATGTAAACTGGACACTTTACGGAGTGTATAGAATTGGCAGGAACACTTTGAATGCTTGCCAACACAGAAGCTTAAAGTCAGGTGTAAAGCGTCCCCCTTTGGCAATTAAACGAGTGCTGGTTTTTTCGAAGGTTTTTTGTTTTGATATTTTTACCTGGCATGGGGACAGATCTAGTAGGAATCTGCTGCGCCATATCACCTGCCATCTGTAGATCAACAACACAACATGAAATAAACACTAAGAGATACATTGTGTTAAATAAATAAAAGGTGCTATACTGCATATTAGCAGCTATTTAAACATTCATGAAACAACATCAGGAACCCATAAAAAAGACCAAATGAGAGACAGACATCAAGAGTGTGTGTTGTATTTACCTGGCTGTTTGAGTCTCTCTCCAGACCCTTCTCATCTGCGTTCTCTATCACCTCTCTGACCTGCTCAATGAACGACTCCCTCTCACTCTCCAGGATAAACTCACTCTGGACCTGCAGAGAAAAAGTCAGATTAAGTTGTGTGTATGTGTGTGTGTATATAATATGTGACAGAAACCATGCTGGTTTATTCTTCCTATGCCAGTGCGTTGCCACAGAGCTATAATTTCCCCTCTCGTGGGAACCTGTTGATAACTATCACAATGAAAGCACAAGGAAAGGAGCAATTATGTGTGTGTTCAGTGGTTTTAGGTGACAAAGAGGAGATAGCACGCACACTGGCACGTGAAGCATATTCCTTGGCGAAATCATTATTTAGCTGACCTCGGGTTATCCCTATTATATAAGACTAGGGCATTGCACAAACATTGCACATTTTGAAAAACATGGCATATTTTGTGCCGTAGTTTCCATTTGTCTTTGGGTCAGTGATTTTTTTTGTTTTCTATGTTTGATTTTTCAAGATATTTTTATATTTGTTTTTATTCTAATTACACTCTTTCCCCCCCCCGTAATTTAGAAGTAAATTGCTCTTAGAAAGGGTGTACTCACCTTATTGTTATTATTATTATTATTATTAGGGTTTGTATTTAATTATTTAAGAATCGACAGCATGGGCACTTGAGTCTATCATGTTAATAAGCCAGATTTAGCCATAAAGACTAAGTTGCAAAGGCTAATGATTGCAGTACAAATGAAAGCACATGTCCTCAATTAAAAGCCCTTATTTGTATTGTCATTTGGGGAAAAACGTTTTCTTTTTATAACAATATAATTTGTCCTGATTATGTCTTGGACAGTACATTTTCAACAAAATAGTTATAATGAAAGGCCTCTGCATGGAATAATAAATGAATGAAGATGGTTGAAAGGAGAGCAAATCATTCTGAAGAGTTGTGGAGAAGATGAAACACGTGGCGGAGTGCGTACCATGATCTGGGCGATCTCCTCAGGGTTGTCTCCGTCCAGGTCGAACCTGAAGGTCACCATCTTCCTGTTGTGTGTCTCCAGCTGACACTCTGCTACCCTGTCTCCTCGGTTGGAGATCTATACACAGACACACATGTAGAAATACGCAGAGAGAACATCACCATTAGAAAGAAGGAGACAGTCAACATATCTCTATTGCAGGTTTCTATTTACTTTTATTGCAGCTCATCACTCACAACCAATAAACACTTATTGCTTCATTAGGATTTATAGGACTTATGGGCTGTGCTATTACATTGAGGACATTGAGTTTGGCCTTGGAGGTCTTCTCATTGCGTGATCGACTTCGCACTGAACGCCTCTGATGTCTCTTGGTGGAGCGCCCTTCATGGCGACCCCCTCCTCCTCCCTCGTTTCCGTCACTCAGACCTGAGGCCTCAGAGTGGCCGCTGAGGCACAGAGGGGAAACAGAGATTTAATGACAGGAAAATAGAAACTGACTCAGAGACGCCATTCAAAATGATTAAATGTAATCAATACATGCAGGAGTTCAGACTTTGTGTGTGAGTTTGCTCGTGCATCATATGTATTACCTCTCGATAGATGAGAGGACTTGAGGTGGCTGTAGTTGGGACTGGGACAGCTCTGAAGACTGAAACACACACAGACACATGAAAATACACATAAACACATCAATCATTTTGATGTGTCAACACAAAGAAGAAAATACAACAGGAAAGCATGAAGTACAAGCAAAGAGTGACACAAGTAAGAGAGCAATCTAGATGAAAGCATGATTTAAGAGGATTCATTTGAATGGAAATATATGAAGCCAAACAACAACAACTTCAAAATAGAGCAATAAACAAAAGGAGCAAAGCGACAACTTCCCCAGAAGACAATAGTTTGTATTCATTATGTGCATACAGTATCTCCAATAACACATGCTACCCTGTTTCAATGTAAGAGCTTTTGAACTCCTGCACTTGGACCATAAAGAATCCTGCGTACAGTGATCCATTTTGTTCATGTGACAACATTGATATGCTCTGTGACTCCGCACCAGTTTGGGAAAGCTTTCCAACAATGACTGTTTGATTGAGGGTGTCGCTACACTCACACCATGACACATCAAAGCTGTTCTTGCACTGAAATATGAATGTACTTTAAATGCAAACCAAAAAAAAGCGACCAAAACCACCCAACATCTGAGTCATCCACAGATAGCTAAAGTGGTTCATAATGCAGCTGTAATAGGGTCTTTCAATCAAAACGTACGAGGTGCGCAGGATATTGAGCATCATGCAACAACAACTCGTAACAGATTTGTTCTTGAGCGCAATGTTCGAGTCATTTGAGATCATTTATCAATCTCTGTTACTGCTCAGAAATGTCTGTCAGGTACAGATCTGTTTTTTGAACCAAAAGGGGGAAACACTTTTGCATGACAAAAATATATGATATAACATTTGATATTATTATCGTGGACTGCTAATTCACTTTTTTTTATTGAATTCATGTTTTTTATTTTGCACATTTTGTCCCAAACACGCAAGCATTATGTATGTATGTATTATGTATGTATGTATGCATTATGTATGTATTAAGTATGTAGTGTCTGGAAACATTCAGAAACTGACTCATGCAGCTGCTTCGGGATCTTTTTTCAATTTGCAGGACTGGAAGCTCCATCAGGTCAATTGTACTTCACAATTTTGTGAATAATACACACCTACACATGCACACCTAAAAAATCAGGCGAATCTGATTCGGCACAGAGTAAGAGCAAACCTCACAAGAATACAGAGATGGAGTTTCATCTTATATAACATGCTGTCCAACCCAAAACAAAGTACACAATCCTCACTCGCCCACAGCATTGACGTGTTGCTCTGACAGGCTATGACCAGTACCTGGGGAGGAGCTTCCATGGGAGTATCTGGCGGGGCGGTGACTACAGTGATGATTGGCACCACCGTGGCCAAGGGCTGAGGCACAGGTGTGGGCACAGGAGGAGGAGCAGGAGGAGGAGGGGAAACAATAGTAGGCACCACCCCAACAGGGAGTGGCAGAGGAGAGGGAGAGGAGGCCGCTGTCGGCATGGTAACAGTGAGGGATGGCGACGGAGGAGGGCAAGGTCGTCGAGGAAATGGTGGACTGAGTTACACTGGGCTGAGAAGAGGATGGAGGACCAGAAGGAAGAAGAAGGGAGAAAGAGGAATGTGGATAAGGCAGAGGAAGGGAGGAAGGAAGAGGGAGGGAGCAACGTCACAGGGAGGAGGAGGAGGAAGTAGACAAACCCGGCAGTAATCACGTGTTAACGCCAATCTCCTTCATAATGGATCAGTGAGCTAAAGCTGCCCTTTGGTTTAACTGCTGCGCCTTAAAGACTTCACACCAAAATTAAAATAAACCAATTACCTTAAAGAGGACATACTATGCTCATTTTCAGGTGTACATTAGTACTTAGTGTCTCTACTGTGACATGTCTCCATGCTTTAATGTTCAAAAAGCTCTTTATTTTTCTCATACTGCCTCTTTTCACCCTCTGTCTGAAACCAGAGCCCAGTCTGCTCTGATTGGTTAGCTGGCCAGCTCTGTTCTGATTGGAAAACCGCTTAGAGCTGTCCCGCCCCTTAGCCAATTTGTTGGAGCGCTAGCCAATAGCACTGTGAGTGTTACATAGTGATGTCACTGTGTTATTGAAGTACACAAAGTAGTCCAATGGATGTTAGGCAGGGGGGGGGGGGGGGGTGTGTGTATGTGTAACACACTACAGGAAAGGTAAAACCCCCCCAAAAGGAATAATAGGGCCTCTTTAAGAGTATTTCTTGACCTTAATAATAAACCGTGTAAAAACAAAGTGCCATCTTTAGTTCACTGACCCGTCATTGACCCTCAAACAAGAAAGACAACTCGAACACTGAGCAAGACCATTAGTGACAACAGGCTCTGTGACAGGACGATTGTGTAAAACACACGTGACTGTGAGACCATGCAGCGACACACAACTGAGATCTGTACACGCAGTGCACAGTGTTGCAGGATTGTTTCACAATGTGTACACTCCTAATGAAACATTCAAATGGAGACACATGACTAGAAACATACTTACAAATGTTTTCAAACACTGTGAGTATACAAATGCATTTATTCTGTGGCAATTCTAAATTGAGTTTACAGCTATTGTGTGTGTCCTGTAGGTCAAATCCTTTTCTGGCAAAACAATATACAGTACTTATAAAAATGCCTAACTGGATACAGGCCTGGATAATGACACAACACACCTTTCATCATTCTTCACTTCCAACTGTAACCAAATGTCCTTTTACTCTTTACCACTTCTGATCCAGGAAATATTAGCACAACTCAATTGGTAAAAAGGTGCTAATGTGTTTGAGCTCAATGCTTTTGATCAGATAGTAAGTAAGAGCATCTGGGGTGAGCTACCAACCATAGACATCAAACACAGACAGATCTATATCCACTGAGCAAATCACACATATACACACTCACTGAAAACAATACAAACATTGCCATATCAAATGTTACCTGAACCAGAACAAGCTGAGCAGCTTGGTACAGAAGATAAAGATGCTCTATACTCGGAGACGGACTGACGTCAAAAAACTAAACGCACACAAACACATACATCAAACATTAAAACACACACATTGTGTATAGAAAGATAAGGAAGCATGTGTAAACACACATACAAACAAACCCGGTGATAAGTGCAGGCAGCATGCCAATGAGCCAGCAAGTGGGAAAAGTAAAAAAAGAAACAATATGAGCGGACAAAAAGAAGTTTACAGAAAAGCAGTTCACGACAAGCAAAACATGCAGTAATGGCATTGATTATGAAGTGTGATTAAATACTTGAATACTGTCCATGTTGGTCCCTGGCTGACTGTGTTATTACAGAAATGCATATACAGAAGAGTGTGTGGGAAAGCAACACTATCAGAGAGTCGTTTGGAACCTAAACTAACCCTCAGGGTTCTACATGATGACAATAAAAAGAGTCAGTGTTTATTAAATTGGCTTTGACTCAGACTTTGGCGCGTGTATAAAAGGCGGTAGGTGTGTGTGTCGGTAAAGATGATCTTGAGTTAAATCCTGCTACTGTCTGCAGAAAAACCAGCAGCAACTTGTTTGCATTAGGAATGTGTTTATGAGGTAATCTCGTAAATGTATTTGTAATTAGCGGTGCTAATTTACGTACCTGAGAAGATGTGTAAGGCAGAGATGTGTGCGAGGGGCTCTGAATCGATGTGATACTGTGACTGGATGAAACAACCTGGAGAAAGGAAGAAAAGAGAGAGACAGTGAGGGGAAATGACTAATATATAAAGATTACACCAATATCCTTTTTAGGTTTCAGACTTTGTTTAGGCAGTTCATCCCCCAGTCATGTCCTGCTTCTAATAACCAGGATAAACTCAGATGATCCCAGGTATAAGACACTAAAAAGAGTTGGAAAATACCAGCTGGCAAAATTAATGTTACTTAATTTAATGTTATATTATCCCATGAATAGTTCATTTCCTGAAATGCTGCTGAACAATATTAAGATAAATAATATTTAGTGCAACGTTGTATAAATGCCATAAAAAGTTTGTTATACAACCACAAACATGTTGAATTTCATTATGTGTGAGTGGTTGTTTTGCTAGTTCTAATGAGGAAACCTGTTTTTCTGACTAAAAACATTTGATGTCAGATTAATGTCCAATTTCATGCTCAATCAATTCAGTTTAAAGCTGCAATTAGTTCATGCCAGTGGTTTGTGCTGGGGGCAAACACAGCTCTGTGCTGTGACTGCAGGCAGCAGCCAGCTCTGTGGGGGGGGTCCCTCGAGGGAAAGGCAACAACTTCAAAGACAAAGCACAGTTATGGCTGGATAAGCACAACATAGGGTGGGGTCATTTTTTTTTGTATTATCTTATTGAGGATGTGGTATTAAAAGTATGATCAAAGTAATGAAATGAGATAAGAGAACACACTTTTAGATCCATGCAAAAAGTTACTTTCTGGGTTGTTTTACTACAGATCTTACCTGTTGGGGGGTCCCAGGAGGAGCTGGCTGTGTGTTGGCAGGAACCAGAGGGGGTGGTCCTGCAGTGGATTGTGGGATGGGGGACTGAACCTGCTGCTGAGAAACAGAATTGCAGAAAGACGGACAGAGAGGAAGAGGTGTTGTGGGAGAGGGAATCAAGAGAGATCGGCAACAAGACAAAAGAGAAACAAGAACAAAATCAGGAAATGTTTGCAGCTCATACTCAAAAACCGTACATGAGTGCAAACACAAGGTACTTCTGCTGTTCTACAGTGATCAGTTTGGAGTCTACATTTCCTTCTTGTGTATGCACGTATGCACAGACAACATCTATACAGCTACAGATATAAGCACACCAATACCGACTGTATGCATAAACAAATACACACAGTTTGTAGTGTAGCATGTACAACAGTACAGGCACAATACTGGGGTTAGGCAGGGTGTAAGTACAGGGATTTCTCACATGCAGGTCAAACCCTTAGTGATTGGTAGTGATAATAAGTCAAAGAAAGTGGAAGCTAGAATAATGACATCAAACAACCCACAGCTGTTTGCCCTAAAACACCTTACACAGATGCCATATTGGATCTATTGCCACGTAAAATATACTAAGATCTTAATTTTGAGATTTCTTCCTGACATTTTATAAGCAGCCCTAAAAGAAAGTCTGATTGGTTTGTAATGTTGCCGTTTTTAAATGATTACCTGGTAACGTACATTTGGGGATTATTGATTTCCCTGGTGCATTCCTAGTGACCGTGTGAACACCAGGACAGAATCATACAGAGATATTCTGTGACTGAACCCGTAGGAGGCTGTTGCAGTTTGTTGCTCGTCACAAAGCACAAGAACGTGGCATCAGACACACTGCTACCTGCCTTTTTAACATCAACACGTCAAGACAATAAAGAATTTCACAAAAGATATCTGATAAATATATAAAAGATAGAAAACCTAAATTCAACGACATGAAATAAGACAGATTGGAGAAAATAGAAGAGTGATCATAAGTGTTTTAAAGAGACCATGGAAAAGTGATGCTGATAATATCAGCTCTCTAAAGGTTTCATGAATGTGAACTGTGACTTTTGAACCTTGGGTTGAAAGTTGATTACCAGAAAAGGACAACATAAAATGCTAAAGTAAAGAAACAATTACAACAGAAAACAGAAAGAATATAGAATAAACAAATGAAATGTTTATCTGCATGGTTACATTGCTAGGTTTGTCTAAGCCCCCTTGGTTTTGTTGTATGTTTCTGTGTGTTTGTCCATACAAATCAGCAAAGTCTCGTAGCTTTATCATTACTTTCAGGATTTTCTTGGATTCGTAACATGTCATTCCCCATGTAGGTGTCTAGAATATGAAGCTACATTTGAAATTGTTATTACCGTATATATAATGCTCACCATTGATGTTGGACTTTGGATTTGTATGAGCAAAAAAATGAAGTATATCGTAAATACAGTATACTCCCACAAACACACATTTTCTCATATACATTTAAATATGAACATACAGACAAAATATTACTTACTGACAATGACAAATAAAAAAATACACACAGAAAGGAGGGGGCTTTGACCGCTTTGAAAAGCTTGTACACCAGAGTTGGTCTCAAAGACTACCTTCTGAATGCTTTCTAAATCATTTTGATTCCACTCATGATGCTGAGTCTTATGTTGGGTTTGAAATCGAATGTTTCTGGTTGGTTGGGCTCTGGGTTTTGCCCTCTTCTTTAAAGTTTTATGAAAGCTCTGCTCATGATTAGCGTTTTTCGATAACGTATCTTTCTGGAGGCAGAAAACGTAATAATGTGAGACATTTTGAAGGCAGACCATGAGACCCTCTCTCTGCAGTGTTCATATGACTTGAAGGGATAAAATCACAAACAAAGACTACATCATCGGGGGCTCCTGGGTAGGTAGGGTAAAAGAAACAACAGGGATTGGGATAAAAGCCTCTAGGTCATACCACTATTATAAATAATTCAGCTGCTTTTCATAGAAGGATTCACTTTACTCTGATGTATGATACCATTGTCTATCTCTCTACTTGTTTTTATACCATACACAATGGCAAATGACCCAATGGGCACACTAGCATGACATATTTGTTCCATGGCAATATTTGTCATTCTCCGTTTTTGTAACAATTCCTTCTTGCAGACAAACAATAAAAAAAGAGCAAAGAATGTTACAATAAGGCAATTATAATATGTGGTGGTTGTGAATCCTTGCTAGAAAAGGAACGTATGTAATAGTAATTGACCCAGAGTCTTAGGGGTATTTTAGGTCTGAACGTAGTACCAGAGTGGGGTTAGCGGCCTGCATGGCCATCAATGACTCATGGTATGTCATATCGGGTTGGGCTGGTATCACCCCTCCATGCCGAGCCCAGGCACTCTGGATCAGAGACTCCAGCTGGGTGGATGGTGCTCCCCCAAGCTCAGTGGATGGGGTGGCAGGGAGAAAGCTCTGCATGGAGGGTGGGTGTCCCTGGGGATCTACAGGGAACAGTCCTCCGGGCGCATCGTAGAACACAGCGGAGGACGAGTGAGGGATGGACTGAGCAGCGGAGGAGTCGAAGGGAGGGAGCAGAGGTGGGGGAGGAGGGGACTGGAACTCTCCGGCGTCAGAGGCAAACGAGTCACTAGAAGGATCCGGGCTTCTGTCTTTTCCGGCTATCCCTATGTGGTGAAGGAGGAGACTTCCTGGAGGTAAGGGGAGCTCGGGGCTGAGGTACGTGTACAGCTCCTCTGTCACTGGCTGCAGTCGGCTGTACGTGCCTGAACCTCCGGACCCAGTCCCAGTGTCCTCCAGAGGGAGGTCCATGGAGCTCCTGCGGGCCCGGTACAGTCTGGACGCCAGGAGGCTTGGGTCTCCAGCAGCAGCTGCGGCCGCTGCGGCTAAATGGAACTCAAAAACACTCCCAGTTGATGGCAAGGCTTCGGCTATCACCGCAGGTGCGGACATGGGGAAAGCAGAAGAGGAGGGGTGCTGTGGTGGAGGGTAGCATCCATCAGATGATGATGTCGAGCCACCGGCGGGCCCACTCATGGGGGGTAAAGGTGGAGGGATTGGACTGTGTGCGCTCATTCTTTGCATGAGATGTGTGTGCAAGAAGCCCGGCTGAGGGGGAGGAACCGGCTCAAACCCCATGCTAGCAGCGGCGGCTGCTGCTTGCATCTGCTGATGGAAACCCAAGTGGCCTAGCTGGTGTGTAGTCATTGGATAACCTCCATAGGCCATGGCTTCATAATGGTCCAATAAGGCAGCTTGATTGAGACTCAGTCTCCTCACTGCTTCCTCGTGCTCTGCTCTCATATCTTTGTAGACGTACAAGCTCGGGTCAGATTGTCCTTGGAGATGCAGCGGCTCTCCAACACCAAGTCTTTGAGCAGCTGCTGCAAAACTGGGATTGACCACAAAGAGAGGAGGGGTCTCAATGCCCTCCATCCCAGCAAAAGGATGCAGGCTACTCCCATAGCGAGGATAGGCAGGCTGGAAGTGTCGGGTGTGTGCCTCCAGAATGGACGTGCTCTTGCGTCTCTGGGTGTTGTAGGCCTTAGGAGGCCCAGTGGGGGGAGGAGAGAAAGATATGGGCCGCTCAGGAATGGAGGGGAAGAAAATAGTAGGGGGGTCTGGGAGAGTTTGGAGGGGGATGCTCCCTCCTGTGCTTCCTCCTCCGCTGTAGGGGTGCGGCATTGAATGCTGCTGCGACAATGAGATACAATGGATTTAAGGATGAGAATGAGAGAGAACCACAGCAAAGGCCCACATGAAATGGAGAAAACAGTGTATTAAAGAGCATCATTTCAAAGCAATACCAAGAGAAAAAAAAGAAATTAATTATCTTTCCAGGTTAGAAACAAAATGACGTGCTTAAGATGGATCAGAACATATCTAACAGATAGTGATGAGATGAAATGGTAGGACACAGCACAGAGACAAGACAGTAGAAGTGGGAGACACTGCTATAGCTCACAGGTAGAGGTAGATTGTAGTGAGGTGGTATCAAGAGAAGAAAGGCCAAATGTTTGCTCCATAATATCCTGAAGCATCTGCACTCACAAAACTGTCATTTATTTCAGAAATGATCACTGTCAAATGTTAATCTTCTGACTAAGTACTACCTAACTATCCAGTCAGCCGAGGTTTTAAGCATGATGTCTTGACTATTCAAATGAAAAAAATAAAAAAGGTGCCCCTCTTGTGGAGGAGGCGACCATGAGCCACAACATTATATTCTAACTAAAATTGGAGCCAATAGAGCCAGCTATGTCATTCTTGATTATTAATTTACATTTGGGATATAGCAACTTTCAGAACACTAACATGCTGTACTGTAAAATGTCTGCTTTTATTATTAGGGTTGTCAAATGGGCAGTTTTCCTGATGCAGATGCAAAAGATATTAGGAATTTGTATCATAGAGCAAAGGTAAAGGTATAGCCAGTCTATCTGATTTTAATATGAACACATGGTGGTCCAACAGAGGGAGAAAGAGAGTTAAAGAGAGGTGGATGGGTAGGATGTCAGACTCACAGCCGTGCCTGAAAATAAACTAAGTGTGAACCAACACAGGTCCCTGTTAGCTACCTAATCAAAATATAGGAGCCACCTAAAATGACTCAAATAAAAAATATGATCTAATTGCAGATTTATTTTTACTGAGTTGCACTTTTTGCATGAAATATATATACCAATATATATTACATATGTGTACATCAATATTCAGTAAAGCAGGCTTGGTAGGTAGAAGAGGTAATAAACCAGTTTACTTTGAACGTACTTCTAAATCCTTTAATTTCAATTATTTGCAAATATTTCCTTTTTCTAATTCCATCTGGTTGTTTCCATTTGGCTAGTCGTTCAAAGCTGTTCCAAAAATGGGTACTGATAGAAAGAGTAATAAGAGCTGATCATTATCAATCATTCCATATAAAGTGGCACCTGGCCCTTTTATCTACTTTCAGACACCATTGTGGCCTGTGTCCCTCATCTCTCCCTCTCCCCCCCCCTGTGGTTGTCACCACCACTGTGGCCCCTCAGGACGTGAGACTGTGAACCTACAGGTGTGGAGAACAGGGCGGGCAGGCTGGCCCTCCGCTGCATGGTGCTGGCCAGAGGGGAGGCAGAGTGGAGGGGCAGGACCGTCTCCAGGGCCTTGGAGAGGCGCCCGGCGAATGTGTCCCTCTCAGCCGCGAGAGGCATGCAGGGGGGGGTGGTGTAGGAGGATGAGGAGTACAGGTCTGGAGGAGGGGTGGAGGGCTGCTGTGGAGGAACGACCAGGGGCGAAGGAGCATGGGAAAAGGAGTATGAGGAGGGGGGGACGCAAAAAGACATGCTACGACTTCGGCGAGGGCGCGACGCAGGCTGGAGGCCAGGGAGAGGGGAGCGGGAACAACATGAAAAACAAAAACATTAAATTATAACACACAAAAAACAAAGTAAACATAGATAAAATACAACACACCCAAAGGACACAAGTTTGAAAAGTGAAGAATACACAAACAAAATCAATAAAGTGATGAAAGGTCATCAAGTAAATAATGATACTAAATCACGGTAATACATTTCAATACCTGATATATTTGAACGTAATACATAAACGTGTAAATAAAAGTCATTCATAAAAATGGGGAAAATGAAAGAGAAAAACTGTAGAGGGAAGATTGTTATCAGTGCAACCATTTAAGATAGTATCACAATACAAATGCCACAATTACACACGGAAATATAATTGTAAACATATGCGGTAAAGAAAACTTAAACAGACTGATGACCAAAAAAACAAAAGGAACAAATATTTAATAATGAACGGAATAAAAAACAAATGAACACAATGTTACATAGAAGGAAAGAATGGTTATTCAACATATTCAATGAAGTCGTTCTCTAATGTTATAAACCAGTCTGTTATTAACTCGGGTGGTGACCCTGAAATAAACTTTAATGAGGAAATAGGCTTATTGGAAAAAGTCCTAAAAATCATTTGATTGCATGCAAACTGAACGATCATCCAGTTAAACAATATTGGTCATTGTAGGTGATGGTACATTTGAAATTGGTAGCCAAAAGGAAATGAAAAGTATTATATTATTAAATAAGAAATGCAGAACCTCCCTTCCTAAGTACTTAGAAAAAAATAATGTAATATCAATAAAGAACAATTCAATATAATAAATGATATCTGCATTACAAAAGTATGCTATATCTAAGGTCAATTAACTCTTTGGGAAAATCCTAAAATACAGTCAGAATCCAGAAGATGTGCAAGAAGACTAGTGCATATTTCGCTCTCCATCCAGCGCTCCAAGCTGAAAACCTTTGGCAACAGAGCCTTCAGTGTCGCAGCCCCCACCCTCTGGAATTCTCTCCCCTCTGCTATCAGGAATGCCGACTCTCTGGACACTTTCAAAAAACAACTCAAACACCATCTGTTCACTCAGGCCTTTGGCCTCAGCTAAAATGCAGTACCCAGCATCCTGTTCTTTTTCAAACCTGTGTATCTGTGTGACTATTATTATTTTGTTTTTTTGTTTCCCATTGTAAAGCGTCCTTGGGTCTCTTGAAAGGCGCTATAAAATTTGATATAATTATTATTATTATATTTATATTTCTCTCCCTGACTACTGATTATAATACTGATTATAATACATTTAATTTACATTACTCAGCGAAGTAATTACTATGTTATAGGCATTTTCATCCCTATTGATTGTAATTCTTTCCAGAATACAATGCTTCTGCATCAGCAAAGTTAAAAGCATGTTGATGTGTTTCAAAACGTACAAAACAAGGAAATATATACAAAATCGAGAAAAGAATAGCAACCGAATAAACAGCTGGGGCAACAATTGGACGCATAGATCAGGGAGTATTGCATTCAAATAAGAATTCCAACAAAAATGGAGGAGGCTTGTGGAAAAAGAAAGAAAGTATCTGATAGGATGGCAGGATGGAGGCAAGAGGGAATGGCTTTCAGACCTCTGAGATGAAATACACCAAACAATGAATTATTAGCTACCATAACATGAAAGTAAATTGTTGACTAACTGCTTAGCTGCATTAGTAAATATCAGATTGTCTAACTTGGCTGACTTGGCCTCAAGAGGCAAGAGAAAAATCAAATATCTTCTTTATGTAAAAAATGATCATCTCCAATCAAAAGTAAAAAACCCATGCTCTTGTGTATTTAGTTCAACAAATAACCACAATTCCTAGTCTACTCACAAACACTACACACTCACCCAAACAAAATGCAGTGCTCACTTCAAACTTTCATGTTCAGCAGCTGTGAGTAAAGCCCCGCCCACAGACAGGCTAAGCATGACGTCATACGTGCAGGTGAAAATGTAAAGTCCAATGTGGAGGTCATGAGCACTCACCATTTGCTGCTGCAGTGGCTGGGCGTAGCCCGGGTGCTGCTGTGGGTTGGCTGAGGGGGTGGAGGGGTAGGGGGTTT